CTAGTTATAGAGTGTTTGGTTTCCATTAAAGAGGAATCGTAGGGCCCTTTGGACTGCTAAGGTGGAAATACTGAACTAGATACAGACAGCGAATTCATATGTATGTGAGCTCAGTTGTCTGATCTTTACTAATTGAAATGATTTTTAGAAGCCCATGATATTCGTTCGTGAGAGATTAACACGCCAATGAATAACTACTAAGAATAATAGGCTGATAACGTTCGTTTTTAAAGAATCCCTTCATTTGAGAGTATGAGTAGCTTACATTACACAGACCATTTATATATGTCTCTCCTGCTTACCAATATTTTATGTAAGACCTATTGGAAGTCAAGATTCACTAGGGCTTTTTCTCATCAAAATTATTTTCCAATTTCTCTTGTATTTTCCCCTTTTCTTGCCCATATTCATATCAAACAGAATATTTAATCTGCATTAATCACCCCTTCAACACCAATTAGGTCGAGATCTGGATGAATTGAAGTAATGAAATCAGGGAAACATGCATAGATGTGATGGGTGGGAGGTTGGAGACATCACAAACCTTGACCAAGTAGGCCCAAATATAATTTAGGGGCCTAGTCTGATATAGGCCTGTAAGCTTTGGATGCGTTGCGGGTAGGTCTACAATCAGCATTTTGGAGCTAATTTTCTAACATTGACTAACTTAATAACATCGACTTTCTTTCCCTTTCTTTCCCCCCGTGGATGAGTAGCATATGTGGAGAACAGCTGGCTGGTCAGAATGTATACTAGGATTAGTTGTTAGTACGAGGATTTTAGTATATTGAAAACGTCTCAAATGTCAGTCGAGGTTTAAAAAAAATGCATTTGACGGTAGTGGACTATGATCAGTGACTTTTCCAAGAGTGCATTTGATCATTTGATGATTTCGTAACGCAGATGAGCACTCAGTTTTGGGCCAGTTTTCAGGGAATTGAAACGATTCATGCGAGAAAGAACTGGGAGACTGAACGTGAATGAATCAAAATGGCGTCCAGTGCGGGAGTTGACCAGACTCTGTCTCTCTGGGGGCTCAAGGTCGTGTGGCCCTGTGCCGACATCTTCTAGCTGAGTGAGGAACTACGGTTTAAGGAGTCATAACATAGAAATCGCAGTTGCGGGAGAAGGCGAAGCCTTCCCAGAAGCTGAATTTCTACGTTATGTCGTCGGGTGCGTCGATGAGTGAGAGTCAGAAGCGTGAACGCTTTCCCGAAAACCTACCACGCATTCCTGGAGGCCCTTCAACTCTTCGATGTGAACCGAGGGAATCAGTCTTGGTGGCAGAGAATCACCTCATCAAGATATACAGCTTCAAAAACGGTGCAGAAACTGCCGGTGCCCGACTTTTCTTTCTATCGCCTGTCGGAGCTTTTGCATGAGTCATTTCGTGTCGTATATTGAACGAAAGGGTATGGATGAGAGTTTTCCAATGCACAGCAATATGATCACCGCATGAAATTTCAAGAAACGAACAGGAAAAATAGCTTCAATATTCAATGAGAAACCTGGCCCATGTCGCACTTGAATGAGAAACGCCCGGAATACGACAAAAACTTCTATATAATAATTGGTAATAATACGAAGATGTAATATTTCGAAGATACTCCATCCAGCTTCATGGGAAGCAGTCGTAATATAGTCTCAGATGTTACTTTCTGAAAAAAGTGAATAGTATTACTTCAAAAAGGAACATACTTTCAGATTAGGGAAATTTCGAATTAGGGATGTTTGGTTCGTGAACTCATGCACTCAGAGAAATCTGAAAATTGAAATGACATGCTTAGGTCAATTTGCACATTTCGGGAAAAAAAAATAAAAATGAGGAAAAGGCATAAACTAGATTTTCGATTCATATCAGTGACTTCGCGACGGTGCCGTTCCGCCTGAAAGGCGTCTGCAAAACCGAAATGCGTCTATAGCCGAGATAAAAGGGGTATTGAGTGGCTGCGCTTCTTCTAGACGCATTTCAACCTCCGTTTTTCACTTCATTGAGTGGAAGAAGGACCCCTTCATTAACCATTGGGGAAATGTATTCACTGGGAGCAATCAGTTGTGACTCGAGGTTCATTATTCTCAGCATATGCGATGCTTAAAAAAAATAATATTATGCCCAGGAATGATGACACTGACAAGTGGTGTCAACATGAAGTAAAATTTAATTTGAAGCCTCAGTGCAAGCATGGGACTGAGACTCTCGAGTCTCGACTCGGGTCACAACTGAATTCGTCCAATGTTGAGGGATTCACATGCAATCGCATGGGAGTCCCCTATCACCTTCCCTCCTGCCCATGTGAGTAGCTCGTGCATCGGTCTCGATGGGATTCTAATGCCATCGCTTGCGAAATTTTCCAAGTCCATATCTACATGGTGATCGAACTTCAATTATGGAAAAACTGTTAGGTGGTCAATTTCTGGGGATAGAGATGCTGCTTTACCCAGTTACTGGCCTGGTGGCCAGTAACTTGCTGCGAATAAGGTATTTTTATTTTTTTTTAAGGTATTTATTTCAAGGTCCCGGATCTTGACCATACATATACTGTATATTAGTGTGACAGAGTAGTACGTGTCCAAGATACATCCTTGAAACGGATTCACGCCCTCTCCTTTATCCTCCCCTCTCTTGTTGCAAACGATTGCAACAAGCATAGAGGAAGGTCAGAGAGGAAAAGAAAACGGTGCGGAAAAACTGAGAAAACACGAGGACGGAAAAGGTTCAGGGGAAATAGAGAAAAAGCAACATTGACAGTGGATGAAGTGAACTTTTGGCCATTACTAATGTGGCAGTTGCAAAAGATGGCGGAGGTGACGAAGGAATGGAACTTTCACCTTTAAAATTCGCTGCAGCAGATAACGATGCTCGAGCCAGTTCAACGTGGCCCGGAACGGTACAATAGAAACTGGTCTAGGGGACAGCACTGTCATACTTGCAAGAAGGTAGTGCGCAGCATGTGGAATTTATAGGAAGATAACGTCAACCTGCCTTTTCATGATCGTGTGAAGGAGGCCGAATTCTTCATGGGCTATGGCTCAAAAATGACACACAGCACGGGTCATCGCCCCTCCCCCACAAGGGCTGTCTAACAAGGATTGCCAGCGTGGAAAATGGGACACATTCAGCGAAAATATAGTAGCGGTAGTGTTCGAACACACGCTCACGTAAAGCGAAGCAGATTATAAGTCTGCAGCCCTGGTCACTCGGCCACGCTGCCCGCAGGCGTCTGCATCCTGAACCTGTATGAGGCATTTGATAGCCTCAGAAAACCAGGCAAACATCAGGATTTGAGGACTGTGTCATTTGCTGTCCATCCAAAAGTTAAAAGCTTTTCTGATACAGATGCCCCAATAACTTTATATTGCTCTTTCGACTGAGGCTCGGCCACGGAGGTGTCGTGGTCTGAGACCAGCCAGAATTAGAATGCAGTTGCTGCTATCTACTCTGCTCCCCACGTCGAGTGCCATCTCATCTACTTTTTTTTACTAGATTGTGATCCCCTGCTTTTTCCCGCGCCCGGAGACTTAGGAGAGGCTTTGGGCTTTTTACCCGCTTTGCCAAACTCAGACTTACTCGGCGATGGATTTTCACCACCCCCTGCCGATCCACCAGACTGTGATGCCTCGCCTGGTCCAGAAGATTGACCAGGGACCCGAGCACCGCCTTCTGATGCTCTGTCGTCGCTGGGAAACAGTTTCTGATTTATGTACACGAGAAGCAGCACCACTACGATGGTGACGGCGACAGCGATGGCAACCAGGAACAGTGGACGCGGCATGTTCATTTGGCTGTGGCCAGGCCCAGTTATTTATGTGGAGGGGTTTTAACTCAATTGATCAAGACATCCAGAAATCTGATATCACATTAGACTCCTAGTTTAACTGCCAAGTCGGGTTTTTAGACAAATGAAGATAAATGAATAATTTATACACCGCAACCTTTCTGCTTGTATTGCACCCTAAGCAGCGTAGAATTCGTCGTGTTTCTACATCTTCATAGATCTATTGGCTTCATGAGGCATAGTGGGAGATATGTCCCGGGGAAACTGGTCTTGTACTCGGCGCCTCACCTTTTGATTGTCTCAAGCAACTTTTTATGTGTTTACCACAACAGGACGACTGCAACAGCAAATGCAGTAGTGTTTTGAAGTCGTCATTGATTGTTATATGCCTGCGATTCTCTCAGGGCTTAAGCATTGGGTGGAAATGATCCTGCTCCTGGTAGGTTCGTACATTGAAATTTACTACATTCCTGACTTTAAGGGGCAGAAAATGTCGTGTGCTGCTCGTCGCAGCATTGCACTTGTATTGCCTCTTTATTTAATAGGCACCCTCTCTGTTCTCGGTCCTTTCACCAGGAACGGTATCAGTGTATGGTGAGAACCTATGTTTTGTTCTTCAGCTTTTCTCATTGAAAAAATATTTTTTACTGAAAAGTTAAAGGTGTCTTGTGTGGCTTAACTAAAACAACGAGTAATATTTCGGGATTTATAGAGACTACAGTTTCGTATCTATTGAGAGTTATTATTCAGGCAGGTGTCTGTAACCACATATGTTAACACATTCTGGCAGTTTTCTGAGCTAGAAAGAGATCAAATATGATATTTCGTCGAATGTAAATCATAAAACTGTAATGACATGAACGCAAGCAATAAAAAAAGTCTGAAATAGCACAAAAATTGTCGAGTGCAAGACTAGTATAGGAACAGTCATAACGATTAGAATATTTATTCGAGAATTTCTGATCGCAGGATACTTTCAGAAGACAAGATGCTTTGCTTGTAGAAATCGATTTTGTTTTTATGGATTTTCAGAAACTCGTAAGAATTGTACAGCATTCCCAAACCGTTTTCAAGATGGAGGATTTTATCAAAGGAAGGCAGCAGGTCAAAGTTGTGGACTATAACCAACATCTTTTATTTTCTTTGCTTAAAAGTGCTTTGAATACTTTAATCTCAGACGGAGAGTCGATGCTTGCAGTGGGCTCATCCAGGATATAAATGTCCTCATCCCTTAAGGCTGCTCTGACCAGTGCTATTTTCTGTCTTTCTCCACCCACTCAGATTTTTGCCTCTCTCTCCAACATATGTCAAATAAACATTCTCCAGTCTCAGTAGCGAGCTCTGCACGCCATATTTCTTAGAAACCTCCATAACTTCTAGGTCGTTCTTATTGCTCCTATACAAAATGTTCTATTTGACAGTCTCGTTCATCAGGGCAGAGTCCTGAGGTACAAAATAAATAAAGTCTCTCAAACTTTTCTTCGAAACCTCTTTTTTGCTCCATTGAGTCCACTTTAATTGATCCTTTATATTCGTAGAATCCTAACAGGATTCGAATAAAGGTTGTTTTCCCTGACCCGTTGCTCCCAACCACTGCAATTTTGTCGTTTTTAACAATTGAGAAATTCAAATTCTTCAAAATAATTTGCTATCCCTGCACCAGTGTTACGTTGTCGAAACTTATTTTTTTATCAAAGGATTTTAGTGCTCTAAGTGATTTGTCGTTGTTTTCAGGCAGAACATAGCTTGTCATTATATTCGTCGTTGATAACAAAAAGATGCCGTACAAGGATTCCAGGTTGTTGAGCTTTCTCTTTAATGATGCTGAATGACACGTGTATTCGGTCAGCAATCTAACTACGTCGCTCTTTCCCCAAACAACCAAAAAGGTAACAATGACCACATCCATTAAATACAAAACCACCTTCTGTATCATGTTCAAGAGATACAACCCCTGCCACAGCCTGCTGGCTGGTTTTACTATATCTCCCAGCTTTTTTTCATATCTCTTCATCTCATACTCCTCAATATTAAAAGCTTTAACTGTTTCATAATTCGACAGGATTTCATTTCCCAAGTTGGTCAGAATGTTGATCCTCTCGTTTGTCTCTTTCCTCAACTTCGTCCGGTATTTCGTGATTGAAATTGTCAGCCAGGTGTAAATAAAAACAAAGAAAAACACAAACAGAAAAACATGAATCTTAAAACCTGTAATAACTCTGTAAGACATGAAAGTAAGAAAAAACGGGACCGGCAGCAGATAGTTAAGACTCACAGAAATCAACTCTCCAGTGGATATACTCCTTCTGTCAATTGTAGCCAATATCTTCCCAACTCCAATTTCTCTAAAGCTCTGAAATTCCAACTTAATGTAGCCGTCTAGAGAATCCTTCAATGAGTTGGCATAAACCAGTTGCAGTGGTCTAGCTAAAAGATAGCCATATAACTCACTGGTTATCGCATACACAAAGCCAGTTATCAAAAACTCAATCAGGGATCCCTACACAATATCTTTGCCTTCAGTGTACGATTCGGCCAAGTCCCCAAAAGACTTGCTAAACATCGTATCGCTCAACGTGGAAATTATGATTAAGCCTATAATGGGGAACAATGTCAATTTTAACTCCCTGATATTTATAACATAACCCTTCCATATGTCCCTGTAAATAAATAACGAAGATACTCCATTATTTTCGTCCATCTTCTATGGGCATGATAAATAATTTTTTTTAATACAAATACAAAATACTGCACATCGACACTAGCACCTCATATGGGAGCGACTTTGCAACGCTGCATTACAGGCAGCTGCTAGCACACCTCGGTATCCAGACAGTCGGCAGATATGAGCCTTTTATAGAAGATGACAGGGAATTCAATATAGATCTCAAGCCCAAGCTTTTGCTTCAGGATTCGCGACTCAAAGACTTCCTGTTGGAGAATGAAATACAAGAGCTTGTTTCACTTACCTCGGTCAAAGGATCCTTCTTATACACTGACGAGCTGCGCTCTATACCAACAAATGAGACACAGTCTCTCAGGAGTTCCGTAGTGTCGCTGATGCAGAAGCCGCGTGTCATTCGGTTTTTCTGGAATGTGCTTGCATTCTTCAAGGAAAACAACGTGACGGTGAAGAACACAATGCGCGAGGAATTTGAAAATTTCGGGCTTAACAAGAAGTCTATAGATTTTATAGGACTTGCAGTTGCTCTGAACCTGAATGACGATTATTTATACGAGGACCCACGGAAGACCTACGAGCGCATACTAAAATATGTTTCGTCTATTGTCTGCTACGAGGATACAGAAAGTCCACACATCTATCCGCATCTATCCGGAGAGCAAACGCAGCACCGTCGCGTCGTCAACTTGTTTTCCTACTTACAGGATATACAGTTCCTATACTGCCTATCTTTGTACTCTTATAGTTTCTGGAAAACAGCAACTTGATCTATGATACTCGAGAACTCGACTCCTTCGTGTTTCTATGATAGCACGACGCGGTAAGAACATGATAATGAGTGTAGAACCGCACCCTGCTGAAGTGAAGCTGCGGATGGAACATGGGTAGAGGAGTAGAGGAGGGGAATGGCAGGAGCACAGACGTCAGTGGATTGCGTTGTCATTTAATATATTCTGTAGTTGAGAAAGTTCGTTATGAATTCTTTCGTGTTTTCATGATTTGTTTAATTGGTTGGTTGACATTGGTCGTGTACTGGCGCCGAGATGCCGCGGCTTTCAAAACTCTGCGACGTAGATAGAATGCCAGGGCTAGAAGTTAGGGATTTTAGTTTCGGTCAGTGCCACCAGTCGCAAATTCGTTCGACATACATAAGATACATTCGGCTGGCGTCGTGTCGGGGTGCTTTCTACATGTTTAGTCAAAGTGAAGGGCTGAAGGCGTTTGAAATGCACACCCTGGTAACTAACTTCCATAGTTCCATTCTGTCAAAGCTCACCGTGAAGGCGTAAATCGTCCGGAATCCGCACGCTTCGTTAGTTCCATTGAATTCATTCCACCTTTTGCAGTTTGCATTTTAGCTAATTTGCGCGTCTGTTTGCCTCATTTGCCGTCTAATTAGTTATCCGATTGGAAAATGAACCGACGCGTGCGTCATTCGCAGTTAAACTTGTACATTTTTGATTTTTTGAGTCTTTATTTCTTGAACATTTTTTTTAAATTTGCAGTTGCCCGTCAGACGTCAGTCGTCAAGTGGCTGACGTGGGCCGTGGCTCGTCAATCGACATTGACACTTAGCGAGATTAACCTCGATAGTGCTTTGAACCACTTGTTGCCTGATAACTGTGATCTTCGAGGACAATTACCGGGTAATTATTTTCGTGCGATTATAACATTAGTGACTTGCGACACGCTTATGCATGCGTGTGTTCCTGATTTAGGTGCTTTGTTGGGACATTACACGGATGAAAGTTTGGTTGGTGCTCTCGTATATAGGCAATTGACGAAATTCACGGACAATTGGGCGCTTTCTCATGAAAAGTAGCCGGACAGCGTGATACCGATTCTGTTCCCCGAATTTTGGTAAGTGTTCGTTTCGCTAATAAGTACATACTTTTCCGGAAAAATACATTTTTATTCAATCCCAAGGAAAATTATCAAGTTAAGATTTAAAATTTTCATTTTGTTTCTCACTTTGGTAATAATTTTGGAATGGACATTATGATTGCGGCTGGGATTTGACAGAAGCAAGGGTTTTCATGGTCAACAAATCGATTAGGCATGGATTGCAAACCCGAAATTCAGCCGTTCTAGAGATCCGCGACTGCCTGCGAAACTTTCTAGAAGATGGCGCTCGAGAGTAGCGGCGCGTGTTAGAGCAAAAGTCTTACGCTAGATTACTGTTTTTCGCGTAGTGGTCGCCCAGCTTGCGACTTCAAAAAGTAAGTCCTATATCTCTAGAACAGCCGAATTTCATGTCTGGAAACCAGGTCTAATCGATTTTTCTATTCGAAAACTTTGTGCTTCTGTTATTTCCAGGCAAATCCCAGACCCAATCATAGTGTTCATTCTAAAAATCATTAAACACAGCCTCATTTTAAATTGAAGCACCGCATGCCGAGATAATACATTTGTGTGTGCTATCCCCCCCTTTTTTTCTTTCTGTTTATATGTTCCAGACTCGCACTCATTAGTAATGTTAGGCATCAGGAAAGTACTGACATCTCTTGGCAAATGGCGGTCGAAGGCCAGGCAGCCGCCTCCGAAGCTCGAAGTCATATTCTTCGTCGCGATCGCAATCCGGAAATTCCAGAAAGTCGCGACGAACAAGTTCAAAAAGTCGCTCACGTACTACTTTGACAAGCAAGCTGCACTAGACGAGCTGAAGAGTCTGCATCACGCAGACGAAGCGTTCTTCACCAAAGAGTTTGTCAAAGTTGCGTACTTCGTACGGAAATTTAATTTGACGTTTGATGATCTAAGTTCCCTCGATATTGTGGACAACATCTACGAACATTTGAAGGAAGGCTTGACTCGTGATGCAGCTGAGGATCAGAAGATGCTGCACTTCCTCTGCTTATCTTTGAAGTACCTGACTCGAAACAGCAGTGGAAAAATTCCTCTGGAAGTTTCTTCGGTCGCTGACCTGATCAGAACTGGCAATAATCGTAACCGTGCCATAAACGACGCGCTCGTCACGTTGCTGGCGTATCGTTTGGAAAAATCAAACATGGTGCTGA